TAACGTTATCTCAACATACACCTAAACCGGAAGTACAAATAAACTTTATCCGATAAATATAAAATGCAACTATGTATATTATTAGTGTCAAGTAAAATGTAAACTATATCTGATATATATTCATATGTCTAAATAAATATGCGTATAAATATATAAATATATAACGGGTTTTAAGCTAACATGCTCAGGAGCACATAACGATAATTAATAGTACATTTATATAAATAGTTTAAAGCAGAGTTTGAAAGCCAGTTAATATACGTGGTTTGAAACAGTGTTCGAACGGGTTTCAAAGCACAAACTAGCAGATTTAAGCAGGATAACATCCCTAATTTATACATATATGAAATAGATGAAACATTCGAAAATTCAGCCATCCAAATATTTGTACATAAATAGATATTTACATCCTGTAAAACGTATACAGTACATAAACAATTAGAATTATAAGTCTGTTTATATAATCATTATCATTAACTTAAAGTAGAATTAAGTACTGTTTTTTTTTTTTATATTCCATCGATTTTGGCCTATGAATTGGCTATAAGTCGTAGCGAAAATCATAATATAAAATATAACCGAAGTTGAATATTATTCATCTATATGCGATAAGTTTTTTTTTTTATTTCGGACAATTAATATCGCTGTTAAATATGTATAATAAAGTCGAAATTGTAGTTGAAGCTATTCCAGAAGCAGTAGATAAAATTAAGGATGCAGTAAAAACAATAAATTCTTCAGATAAGACTTCTAAAGAAATCGTTGTAATCACTAGCATATCTTACAAATTAATACCTCAAATAGTAACATCGGTATCGATTCTAGTTAATGAAATTTCGCAGATATTTGAAAAGGCGCAATGTAATAAAAATATTTGCTCAGCTTTAAATGTCCGAGTAAGAAATATAGATATCGCAGTAAAATTCTTGAGCCAGAGAATAGAAAAAGATAACAAAGAATCTGAGAAGATTTGTTATCAACTCATATCACAATTTAAAATTTTATTAGAGAAAATTAAAATTTACGCAATAGATATTTCACAAATACAGCGAGTCAAACTATTCTCAAATGTAAATGAAATTGAAAAGAAATTTTTTC